GCCGAGTCTCGGCACCGTTCGGCGTCGACGGAACGGCCCGCTCCGAGAGCGAGGCCGTCATTCGGACGAGCGTCGCGCCGTCTTACCGGGCCGGCGCGGGGAAATCGCGCGGCGGCCGACACGCGACACGCGACACCTCGACACGCGACAAGGTCCGACGACGACGTCGAGGCTGCCTTGCCGCGGGCGAGAGAAAGTGCGACTTTTACGCGGCGCGAGGCGCGCGGCGAGAGAGCTCGTTCGCGGATCCGCTCGCGGGAATCGCCGCGAAGATGCGGCACGGATTTTCTAGGTCGCGGTTGCGGTCGGGCCGACCGGCAGAAGCGAGAACCGGCGCCGCGGCAGCTCCTTATACGGATACTTTGTCGGATCGCTCGAAACGAGAGGGTCCAGCGGCGCGGGTTTTCCTTCTCCCCGTTCGTCTCTCTCTCTCTCCGCTGTTCGGGCCGGACGAAAATCAGCGTCGCGTCGCGAACGGAAACGCTTCGGAGCCGAATTACCTGGCTCTATACTCGCTCGTCGTGGCCAGAACAAAACATCGTTCGAGCGAGAACGCGACGCGTACGTGACTGGAAGAAACGATTTACGGGCGTTTCAAGGGGAACGCGTGAAGGGACAACCACGAATTCTAACCGTAGGAGTCCCCTCCTCTCTCTCGCTCTCTCCGCCTCTCTCTGTTGCTCTCTCCCTCTCGCTCCTTCCCATTGAGCACCGAACAACGGAGCACTCCGTCGAATATCCTTCGGAGTACCGTAGAAACGCTGGACCGAGACGCGACGGTCGATCGGTCGTCCCGCGGTCTATTCCGGCTCCGGGGATTCCCCGGCTCGTCCTCCCGCAGAGGAGACGTCCGTGCGACTACGGAGCCGAGAGAAATCGCGCAACTTTCTGCGTCGTACTCACGTTCAGGAGAACCGATCAAGCGTCCTCGGATTGCAGCGATCGGCTCTTTTCCCGTGCTCCGCGCATGGCTCGCGACCGCTCGGCGTATCCCAGTCCGACGGTGCGTCGGGTATCGTGTCACCGGTATGATCCTCAGCTGGAGAACAACTCGCGGACTGTCGGGTAGAGGCGAGCCTCGCTCGTTCGGCCGTTAAACGCGCGGCGCGAGAGATTATCGGAGGAAAAACATCGGAACGGTCCGTTGTACTCGCTCGAATCGGGACAGGCGGCTGACGAACGAACCAGCTCCATACAGCTCGGCTACCGCGGGACCACTGAACCACCGTCGGCGAGCATTCCTCTTCCCTCCGCGGTCGCTCTCCCCGCCCTCTCCGCCCTCCCGCCCTCACCGCGGCAAGCTCGGCCGGTCGCCCGGCCGCGGGACTCTTTCCATCGCGACTGGAGCGTACGCGCGCGTCGATCTTCCTCGGATCCCTTTGCTTCCGTCGATCCTCCCTAGATGGCCGGGACGAGCGCGGTTTCTTTGACTCTCGGTAACGAAGCTTAACCCTTCGCGGACGAACCGCGGAACAACTGATGCCGACCTTATGCGGATTCTGCCAAATTACGCGGATCGTTCGGTGATAGAGGACGGAATGTGCGTCGGTTTCTTGCTGTTTGTAGGACTGAAGGTATGTCTATTTTTGTGTTTCGTTCTTTATACTGAACTGATTAGATTCTGCCAAATTACGGAGGATCGTTGGGTGATAGAGAAGGGAACTGTGGATCGATTTCTTGCTGTTTGTAGGATTGAAGGTACGTGGATTTTTGTGTTTCGTTCTTTATTCCGAACTAATTAGCGTGAATTCTTCATGGCGATGCAAAATGACGGACGCTGTGACATTGAAATTTATAAGCCACTTTGTCATGAAATCAATTCCGTATAGCCTTAACTTTTTGAAATTATTATACAACCCTCGGCGTACTCATTAACCCTTCGCACTCGAGAGGTGACCCTTTGCGGACGAAGATTCTTTGAAATGTACCAAACCTCCAACAGATGAAGCTAAATTACATATCAATTGTATAATTGATAGTAGAAAAGGAAATTGCGTACTGATATTTTGCTATTCGAGTAATTAAATCATTTTTTTCTGACATAGTCTTCGAAATATGGAAATCTGATCTCGCCGAAATGTCGACGTTCGTCCGTCAACCCTTTGTTTGTTGGTTAAACCTTTAACAGATGAAGCTAAATTCTACATCTATCTTATAAACAATAAAAATAAGGAAACTACGTATCTCTTGCTGTTCAAGTAATTAGATCATTCTGTTCCAAACACGAAAATCTGATCTCCGAGCATCGCCGTTCACAAAGGGTGAAAATTCATGCTCTCCGCGAACGTTTATCGCTCCTCCTCCGCGTTACCTTCGGCAGTCCCTTAGCCAGAGTCGCTAACGATAGCTGGTCCATGCTAGGGCCTAGCGGTCCCGCGACGGGACGCGGCCGCGAGGAGGAAGAGGGCGAAAGGGACCGAGCCGCGATCGCGGAACGAGTAGGAGGAGCGAAACCATTACGCGTTTACGATCGGGCTCGTTCGCTCGCCACTTGCTCCGGGAGTACGGATCGCGCGGCGCGCGTCGTCGGCGAGTCGGGTTTCGCCGTGGGACGGCGACGGGATCGGGCGGGATCGGGACGGGACACCGGTTCCTGCCGACGCAGCAGGACCGGTCTTCGGGGGGGAAGCGAGCGAGCGACGAGGACGGCGACGACCGCAGAGGCCGAAGGGATTCGGGGCTGAAGGGATACAGGGCGAACAGGATGGCGAGGGTTCAAGGCCAGGGAGACGGTCGCACCGCGTTTACCGTAGGACCGGTACGCCGGTCGCGTGGGGGCGACGCGTCGCAGGACGCGACGCGCTGCGCTCGCGAGTAGTGGTACAGTGGGCTCCGGACTTACGTCCTAATTGCTTCTGGAGTGGGCGAGGTAAGTTGAAGACGCGAGTCGGGACGTGCGAACGTATAGCGCGACATATGATTTGGGTCTTTGTAACTTCAACTTGGTTCTTTGGTAAATTCAGTATCGACTGGCGAATCTCGAAAGAGAGGAATTGGAAGATTCATAGGAGAGGAACGGAATAGATGTGATGGTTTGTTTGTGCAAACCGAAATTACTTGCCAATGTAACTTAAAAGTGTTGGCTACCAAATCTCAAAAGAGAAGAATTGGAAGATTGGTAGGAGAGGAACAATATACGTGATGGTTTGTTTGCGCAAACCGAAATTACTTGGCATCGTAACTTGAAAGTATTGACTAGCAAATCTCGAAAGAGAAGAATTGTAAGACTGATAGGGGAGTAAGTTAAAAGTGTCGTTATACTAAGATAATTCAGTTTTAAAATGTGTCGAAGAAAAGTCATGTTATCTAGTGCTATATAAGTACAGTATTGTACAAAGCAAACTATTTTGCTATTGCCAATATATCATCCTCAAATTCAACTTCCACTTGAACTAGAATAGACAATTTCCTCCTCCTCTTCGAAATTCTGTACTGTCTATTCCATCAATACTAAAACATTACGAGCTCAGTACAGAAAGTAAACAACACATCAAAGCCTCCATAATCAATTCATCCAACCCCACATCGCCATTTCTCAAATACCGATCTCGATTCCCAACGAATCGCTCACGTCCCCTTACATCTACCACAAAAATCCCCCTCCTCAAACATACCACCTATACAACTCCATCGTTATTTACCACAAAAACACTCGAAACATCTATCCACCGAGTTCCCCGAGCAGCTTCGCAGTCGATTCCGTCGAAGGTAAACACGCGGACCGCGAAGGATCGGTGAAAAACAATCGATTACCGCGTTACGCGCGGCCGACGTAACTGCGCACCGTAAATCCGTTGTACCCGAGTACAGTTCCCGCCGCGCGCGCTGGAAACCAGTTTGGCTCGATCAAAACATCCTCCTGAAACCGCCCGCGCGGCGTCCTCGCTCGGACCTTCGTCCTTCCGAATCCGCGCTCGAAACGCTTCTCTCCGCGACTTCCGCCGCGCGGAGCGGGCCGACACCGATAACCCTTCACCGCGGCGCGAAGACACCTCGGCAGACTCCGCTCGCAACGGGATTCGCCGACGCTCGTATCGCGAACACGGCGATTACGTCGTCCGGCCGATATCCCCGCTCGAGCCGCGCGCGTTTCACCCGTGACTAGGCCGTCGGTCGAACAAAGTGCCTGACGCAACCGATCCGAGCGAGCATATCGGCGCGCGTCCGAGTAGCGAAACTTTCCTCGCGATCTGTGCAATCCACGTCGTTCTTTCCATCGCGTCGAGCAATTGTCAAGGGACCAGCGACCGATCCAACGCAGGAAGAGGAACGAATCGTCGCGTTCGACGAGGAGACATGCGAGCGACTTTTGCGATACTCGCCGTCGTGGCATTGGCGAGGTTAGTTATGACGGATGCAGCTCAAGGGGTTCGTATTAGTAATCGACCGACGATTGCAGCCGCGCGGCGGGCCAAGCGTCGACGAATTGGGTGGACGCGCTGACGCAGAACATCCACGCGTTGACCAGCGACATCCAGCGCAACGTGGGCCAGCTGAACCAGCAGATCCAGCAGACCGTGAACACCGAGACGGCCCGAGCGCATCGCCTGGCGAGCAACCTGCAGCAGGGGATCGGTAACTGAAACTCCGACTTTCGCGAAGCGATTTCCTTTCACTCCGATCGAGTCGCTAACGGCGTTCGCTTTCAGGCGCCGGCTCGGTGCAGCTGGTCGGCGGCGGCGGCAACGTCGTCCTGACGGACGACAGGGGGACCAGGTTCGTGAAATCGGGCCGCACGTCGGACGGCAACGCGTACGTCTACGAGAGCTCGAGCAGCATCGTGGGCGACACCTTGCGGAACGAGGTCACCGTTCGCTATCCGGCTCTGAACGTCTCCAGAGCGTTCGGGTTCACGCTGGACCTGAAGGATGTCCACGCGAAACCCGTCCCCGTCGACGGGTCCAGCTTCTAATACGGACGACGCGACGATCAACCGAATTACGCACGCCCCACGGACGCTGCAGACGCGCGGACCAGTCGATCGCGACTACCGGAGGACGCGCCGCCTTCGGGGGTCCACCGATCGGCCGCCGATCGGCCGCCGAACACGCGCGTCCAACTGGCGCCGAGAGCAACCGGAGATCGCGCGCCGCCTTCCTTAAATGGAAATGCCTCTGGCTTGTCCTCGATCGCGATCTTTCTCTCGTTCCCTTCTCGAGCCGGTCACCCGCCTCGCCCTTTTCCCTCCTAACCTTTGCCACGCGTCGCTTTCGCACCTGGCGAGGCGCGTGCCGCTTTTCCGCGACGCGACCGCGTTGCTTCGATTAACCCCTTGCTCTCGGGAGCTGACGGTCAGTCAGTTGATTTGATTTGCGAAATTCTTATGTGTAATATTCAGCTTTGTATGATGCAGCGATATGGGGAATATTGAAATAAAATAACTTTCCTTAATTTATGTATGTTTCCTCGTTAATTCATTTCAAAGAACAGCGTTCGATAGTCGCGACGATTGTAATGCTGTGTTTTGCAGAAAGAAAATAAAATTAATGCATTCGAAAGCTTTTGTGGTTTCTGTTTGTTAACCCTTTGTCCTGCGAGAGTGGCGAAGATTTTTAATGTGGTCCGATGAATGTGTGTAGGGAATAATGATTCACGGGAAATAATACAGACACTGAATTCAATTTTAAAAATGGTGCACACGCTTTATTAAGAAGTTCGATTATAATTATTCAATATTTTAACCCTTTGCGGACGAACGTCGGCGTTTCGACGAGATGAAACGTTCATGTTCGGAAAACTGAATCTGTATCTTGAAGACGCTCCGAGCGACTTCGTTCGAGGGTCAGAGGTCGATGGATCGCACAGTCGAACGCGAGAAGCCGATCGAGACGGTTCGTAGCACTTGTTCGGCGATGCCGCGCAGCTGGAGTCGAATCAGGCGCTGACACGCTTTGTTCTGTTTTAGGTTCAACTACTCGGTACCACGATGGACCGGTTAGCTTCTGATGGAGGTCGGCGTTCCGATATGGAAACAGGAATCGTAGAAGGATTCTGAAGACGATGTGCGCAGCTGCGAGGGTGGAGAGACGCTTCTTGGGAGAGCGCGGTGTCCGATTCTGAACATGCGTCGAGAATAATTAGCGAATAATTAGAATTTAGTTGTATTAACCCTTTGCACTCGGAAGTTTCTCAGTAGAAATATTTGAACATTTTCTGATTAGATAGAGACGACATTGTTTGAAACTAATTTAACGATAATTCACAGATAAATTAACAAAGCTATTTTATTAAAATATTTCACATTGCAGTACAAAGCTTAATTTGAAATAGTAAATGTTCAACTTCATAGTTTTGTTTTAATAAATCAAGTGGTGACTGAGAGTCACCTGTCGAGTGCAAAGGGTTAACCCTTAACGGTCGTGAGTCGCATCGTGACGACAGCACTTTGTCGCTGGAAATAATGATGCATTGAAAGCTTATAAATAATTAGTCAAAATTTATACGTTTACAATACTGCTCTTGATAAAATATATCAAGTTTCTAACAAAAATGTTTTTGTTACAATGCTGAATATTTTTTACATATTCGCTGAGATCAAATATAACTTATAATAATATACATTGAAAGCTTATAAATAATTAGTCGAAACTTATACGTTTGTGATACCGCTTTATAAAATATATCAAGTTTCTAAAAAAATGTTTTTGTTACAGTATTGAATATTTATTACATATTTGCTGAGAACAAGTACAACTTAACGAGAATCATTTGTTCAAAGTTAGCGTCCGATAACGGTTAACAATTATTGTTGTAATATGTCAACGCCAGCAGAGCGGAATTGTCGCTATGCAAAGTCGGTTGCAATCTATCGGGGGCACACTTGATGACGTGAGTGCGACAAGGATAGCGAATATGGGATGCAAGCGAAAGTGTCGCCATCTAGCGGCGAGAAGCTAGCGGAGTTTCTCCCTATACCCGCAATGTGTAAGACAAGGACGGAGATAGTGTGCGACAAGGACAGAGATAGTCGCCGCAGCGCCACCTGCTAGGAAAAAGCATCTCATCGGTCCCTGGTACCTACTCGTGAAGCATCAGGACCAAGGAGGTCATCGATGCACCGCCATCTAGCGGCGAAAGCTGTGAACTACGAGCGACAAGAAGAAACAACGAGATCAATTGCGAATTCGTTAATAATTAAACTCCCACGAATGATTCGCTGATGTTTGCGATTTAGAAATGTAGAATAGACTTTGCTTTACTTTCTCGTATCGTCTTCGGTAGGATTCTGTTTCGCGTTCATTATTTATTAGTTAATATTCTGGACCGTGTTCGGCGGTAACGTAGAGTTTTTGTACATGGGACGAGAGTATTGTTAAGATTCTCAATTGAAAGGCGTAATTTGTGAACGTTTGTAATTGTAAAAATTAGAGGGGACCCGTAGGAATATTCTGGTGGTAGTGTTAGTCAGATTCGAGTTGTAATTAATAAATTATTAGTGATTTTTCGGAGGGGTTCGTTGCGTTGCATCAGCGGAGAAAAGACAATAGTATTTGGCTAGAAGTTTCAGTTGTCTCTTAATAGGTAGCGCTTTTAGAGTTATCCTTGTCTTACACATTAGAAGAATTTAGAAATTTATAAGATATTGTAAAAAGTTTATATAGTACTTTCAATCGTTTTACCATGTAACTATAGATAGTATTTTATGTAACATTACTTAGTTAGTAACTGTTCTTTATAAGTACAATGACCTTCCTATCGATCTGCACAGATAAGTGCAAATAAATAAAAAGCGTGATCCATTTTATACATTTCTCTGAACATTATATTTTTGTATATACGCGAAATTTCTTACAGACATTCGTCAGAACGTTAAACAAAAATCGCAATTTTAAAGTATAATAAAATAAGAATATAAAAAATATTTTACATTTGTCATTACATATTCAATTGGTCTATGTATCATAAACAAGCGAAATCAAGATTCCTATAACATTTCGAGTGCAAACGGTTAAACAAGGAATTGTTTGTTATATTAACGTAGGATTAACAATTAAATAATAGACTAAAAATCCCCCACTATCGCGGGGCTGGTGCGCAATGTGTTGATACAAGAAATCAAGGTCCCCATATCGTCGAGTGCAAACGGTTAAACAAGAAGTTGTTTGTAGTGTTGACATCGAGGTCGGGACTAAGGTGGGGACTTCGACTTTATAAGGACGGTCTCGACAGCCGAGAGCTCAGTTCGCCGGGGGCTCCCGGACTGGGAGGACCAGACCTCCTGGCCTACCCTGGCCTACCCTGGCCTACCCTGGGCTACCCTGGCCTACCCTGGGCTACCCTGGGCTACCCTGGGCTACCCTGGGCTACCCTGGGCT